GGCGTGCACCGTTCAATTACAATATTGCTTCTTACTTTTAACAAGAAACAAACCCTTCAAAAACCCCCAAGCTAGGTAAAAATTCTAGCCAGAATCCCGACAGCAAAAAACACCACAGACAAAAAAAATCCCGTCATATTTTTGACGCTCCATTGAATACCACTTTTACTTAAACTGCGAAATGCTTCAAATATTGAGGTTTCAAGCTTGATTTTGATTTCTCTGGCTTAAATTATCATTTTGCTTAATAAATCTCAATTCTTTACAGTTTTATACATTTTATGCATTTTTTATTTTAATTTATTGTAGCGTGTTTTGAACTATCGAGTAATCTTAATAATTTCAGCGCCCATGGTCTGACCAAAAAGCTCTCAAAAACCTAAAAAACCAGCGACAAGTATGGATTGGATATTCTGGCTGTTATTTGGGCTGTTCCTCGCCTTGGTCAGTCTATATTTTTACATATCCCCCCTGCCAGCTGATATTGCTGATCGCAAAGAAGTTTTCGATCTTCTTCGAGAGTTCTCGAGCTATTCAAGCGGAGTACCTCGCCGATTCTTCTGAATCGTTCTTGGGGGCATACTGTGGCGCGGAATAACGTACTGCGGATCGTTACTGCCGTCGTTTATTCGATACCAACCGGGACGCCGGATTTTTTGACGGTATGCTAAGCGTCTTCTAGGGTTTTGCTGACAAGAACATCTTCGAGGAGTTCAAACACAAAAATTTTGACCCCTAGATTTTTATTTCCATGACCAGCGGGGGAGGAGCCGCTTCGCGACTCTCCCCCGCTGGATCCCGTCTAGGCCCTATTACACCGAGCGCCCTTCCACATAAAGTTACCTTGAAGAAAGAAAAACCCATCTTCCATGCAAACCTCTTTGTATTGGCATGCGGTGCCAGCTTGAAATGCTAGTCCCGTTATTAGGTCTGCGGGGCATGTTTCATCGGCTAGGTCGCTACCTCATCCTGCGGCCCAAGCTTGAGGGATTAGCCTCCTTTTTTGGCCTGTGGCGCCAGCTTGAGCGGTTTGCTTCAAGATTAACCCTGCGGCGCAATTTAAACGGACACCTCGTTCTTTAACCCTGCGGCGCTAGCTGAATGGTTGGCTTAATTCCTTAGCCTGCGGCGCTAGCTTGTACGGCTAGGTTCTCAAACTGCGCGCTAGCTTGTAACGTGGCTAGCTTCGTTCTCCGCCTGCGGCGCTAGCTTGTACGGCTAGCTTCGTTCTAAAGCCTGCGGCGCTAGCTTGTAAGGCTAGCTTCGTTCTGAAGCCTGCGGCGCTAGCTTGTACGGCTAGCTTCGTTCTGAAAGCTCGGCGGCGCTAGCTTGTACGGCTAGCTTCGTTCTCAAGCCTGGGGCGCTAGCTTGTACGGCTAGCTTCGTTCTGAAGCCTGCGGCGCTAGCTTGTACGGCTAGCTTCGTTCTGAAGCCTGCGGCGCTAGCTTGTACGGCTAGCTTCGTTCTCAAGCCTGGGGCGCTAGCTTGTACGGCTAGCTTCGTTCTGAAGCCTGCGGCGCTAGCTTGTACGGCTAGCTTCTTTCTCAAGCCTGCGGCGCTAGCTTGTGCGGCTAGCTTCGTTCTAAAGCCTGCGGCGCTAGCTTGTACGGCTAGCTTCGTTCTGAAGCCTGCGGCGCTAGCTTGTACGGCTAGCTTCGTTCTGAAGCCTGCGGCGCTAGCTTGTACGGCTAGCTTCTTTCTCAAGCCTGCTTCGCAAGATTGTGCGGCTAGCTTCGTTCTAAAGCCTGCGGCGCTAGCTTGTGCGGCTAGCTTCGTTCTAAAGCCTGCTTCGCAAGATTGTGAGGTTAGCTTCACCCTTTAGCCTGCGGCGCTAGCTTGTGCGGCTAGCTTCGTTCTAAAGCCTGCTTCGCAAGATTGTGAGGTTAGCTTCACCCTTTAGCCTGCGGCGCTAGCTTGTGCGGCTAAATACATTCTAAAGCCTGCGGCGCTAGCTTGAGGGATTAGCCTGCATCTTTAGCCTGCGGCGCTAGTTTCAGTGCCTGGCTGGATTCGTTAGCCTGCGACGCAGTTTAGTGCGACTGACTTCAGAATAGCGCCTCCCTACAGAAAAATACACTTCGAAACATGCATTCCGAGCATAAAGCAAAAAAAGTACGATAGCCGGGGATCGAACCCCCGATAGCAAGATTGGCAGGCTGACGCTCTAAACACTATACCATGAAACGCTGGGGAGCGCGCGCGCAACAGCCCTTGTATCCCCCGAGGTGACTGCCAGGAAAGGGGAGCCAAGGCAATCGGAGGCAGCTCCACTGAGGCAGCCAAACGCGCGAGTGCAACTGGCAAGAATGAGGAAATTTGTATTTTCTCGCATTATGCAAATTAGCCCTCAGGGACCCCCAAAAACGAATAAAACCGGCCTTAACTTTGTAAACTTGTATTTTATCGAAATTCTGAGAACGCCATCGGAAACAGAAGGGTCGATTCCCCCCCGGGTGACGGAGAATTAGAGCATTTTATGCACGGGAAGGCCCTCAAATCGGGCCTCGAAAGTGACATCCACACACACACACACATACGCGACCAAATTATATAAGGCGGGATCTTAATCATTTTTTACATTTTAAAAAGCGCCGAAGCAATGCTCATATCTTCTAGATTTTAAAAATCTGTAGGTATTAAAGAAAATATCAAATATATGAAAAGTATCAAACGGTCAAAGGTTTTCGCATCTAGCCGTAATTTGAACACATTAAGTCAGGTTAAAACAGTCAAAAGCGTAGAAATTGCTTTTTGAAACGCTTAATTACAATCAATGGGTAGCGAAAAACTACATAAAAAATTTTAGATAAAATGGACAAAATTCGACGACATCCCAATCCGGGTCTACCAACCGAAAACCCCAAATCGAATGCGGGTCTGATTTTCTTCCATGGTGGCGGCTGGAGCACGATGAAAGCAGGTAGTGCCTTAAAGCATACCGATACCAATTCGGTTCCAGCCTACTACGACACTGTCCTCATTCCGTTAGTCAAGAAAATCGGGTGCCACGTTTTTTCGGTGGACTATCGGTTGGCGCCAGAATTTCCGTTCCCGGTCCCGGCGGACGATTGTTTAAGGGCGACGAAGGCGTTATTAAAAGATAGGTATAGTAGCTTAATATAGCGCCAATTTTCGCGTATTTTAGAGCAAAGGAGTACGGGGTCGATCCGGAAAAAATAATTCTGATTGGTGATAGCGCCGGGGGAAATTTGGCAGCCGTGACGACCTACCGGCTTTTGAAGGAAGGATTTGAGCCCAAAATTAAGGTAAGTAATATTTGGGAAACATGGACAATCTGATCTTACGTTTCAAACATCGGAAAATGTTTATAAAATGGTCAAAAAATCGGCTCTGTAGCGATATAAGGGATTTCTGCCGATATAAGGGATCACCGCCGATATAAGGGATCAGGGTCTCGGACCGCCGATATAAGGGATCAGGGCCGATAGGGATCACCGCCGATGGGATCACCGCCGATATAAGGATCGGAAACCCGAAATGGCGGGTACGATAAGGGATCACGGAATCCGGATTTGGCAAAATGTCGATATAAGGGATCAGAAGTAAGATTTTGCGCGATATATTATTACATTGATGTAAAAAGCTATTTATTTAGGCCAATTTCGAAAGAAATTACAGAGAAGGTGATAAAACCAATGTTTTACGGAAGTATTATTCAATCCGATGCCTTTGCCAGTTTGTGATCGTGGTGCCTCCGCCTTTCCTTTTCCCCTCATCCACCTTATTTAGTTTTCTGCGACTCCCGCGTTAACCTCTGCCAGAACTTATTGGACTGGTATTTAAACCAATGGACTAACTCGGTGATGCAGCTATTTCTGATCCCCTACCTCTATCTGCTTTTAGTACGACCTCTGCCATCAATTCTCCGGCGTTCCAGTCAGCTTCCTTCCGGCCCCCACCAGTCTACCGAAAATCGAATAATACTTCCGTAAAACATTAGTTTTTATCAACTTCTCTGTAATTTCTTTCGAAATCGACCTAAATAACTAGCTCTTTACATCAATGGAATAATATATCGCGCAAAATCCTTCTTCTGATCCCTTATATCGACATTTTGGCCGAAATCCGGTTTCGTGATCCCTTATATCGGTACCCGCCATTTTCGGGTTTTTTCCGATCCCTTATATCGGCGGTGATCCCTTATATCGGCGGTGATCCCTTTTATCGGCAGCGATCCCTTATATCGGCAGCGATCCCTTATATCGGCAGCGATCCCTTATATCGGCAGTGATCCCTTATATCGGCAGAAATCCCTTATATCGGTACAGAGCCAAAAAATCATTTGTAACGTCAGGATACCTTAAAGCTATTCATCGAAAAACTGTGAAAATGCGTGATTTATTAGCTAGACTGATTTTGAAGGCACATCCAATTGAATCCCTGAATAAGGTTCAGACGTATTCTGATGTCTGAAAGTTCACAGAATTATTGAGGATGAACTCTGAAAATGCATTAATGCAACGATATTTTTGCAATCAACGCTTTTCAGGCCCAAGTGCTCATCTACCCAGTCATCCACATGTTCGGCTTCAAATCGCCGTCTTTTACCGGCTACTACACCCAATATAATGGGACTTCCCTGCTGAAGTAAGCCTAGAAGGACCCTCAAAGCACAAATCAAGCACATTCTTTAGCCCTCCGACAATGGCTCGATGGGATTTGTTCTATCTTGGGGAGGATGGGTCGCGGGATAAAGTGCGAGTGCTGCTGGATAATGGGCATATTGACGAGTAGGTATTTGATCGTAGTTGTTACTTATTGTAGTTTGTAGCAAACAAAAACAAGGTTTTCATAGTTTCTTTAGTTTGAAGACCAGTACATAATTTTACACGTTTTGCAAGTTGTATATCCGTATAAAGATTAATTGTCGGGAGTTTTTACTGAAAGGTTTTATTCAAAGTATTTTATCGTTTTTTTAATAATCTATCTGTTTTAGAAAACTAACCTCCCATCCTGAATTCTCGAAATGGTTCCCGAACTGGCGGGCCGAGAAGAACGAGGAGAATTTGGTCCGTAAGCAGCCGGATGAACGAGTGAGTTCTTGACGACTACATACAAACATGGCTACAAATTATGAAAACCACTTTTAATTAACGCTCGCTACCTGTAGCTCGCCACCCTCTTCCGTGAGAAGGCGACAAACCCTGAGATCTGCCCGATCTTCGCCGAAAATCTGGCCGACTTCCCGCCGACGATGGTGCAGACGGCTGGCTATGATATTTTGAGGTAGGAATTAGACAAATTTGGGGCGTAATAGTAGCTTAACTTATACAAAATCCCATATATTTCTGATTCTTCAGAGACGAAGGCATCCAATTCGCAAATCGGTTGAAGGAAGAGAAGGTGAAAGTCAACTGGAAGAATTATCCGACTGGGTGAGAATTTTGGATCAAGAAATTGATTTTAAAGGGAGCGTGACAGGAAGCAATAATCCTTAGATAAAAGTTTGCTCTTTTAAATAACGACAAAATAGGGAAATTATCCTGATTTTAATTGCAAACGGGCTAAAAAATTGTCTACTAAAAAGGGAGGGCAGAGAAAAAAGTAGCTGTTAAGTAATAAATATAGTTTGGTTTTGATAACTTATGTAAGTTTTATTTATATTAATTGATCAAACGGATTCATTAGTTAAAAATAGAACCAATGATTAAATTAATGCATATAAAATTTTAGTCAAAGATTACTTTTATTACATTTTTAAGGTATCACGGAGTTTTCAACATGCCCGCCTCACAACTACGCCGCGAGATGGGCACGGATATTGCCGAATTTTTGAGCGAATTTTTGTGATTTAAATTGTTTGTTTGCCGTCCTTTTAGTCGTTCTTATCCCCCTGTTGAACACCTCATATTGGCTACCGGTATTTTTGCGCTTCTAGAGTACGATACTTACTATTTCTCCTCGGCCCCGTTCTAGTCACCCATAAAATAGGTCTGAACAAAAATGCCCAAAAAATGTCTTTGCTTGCTAGTTGTGATCTGCTCAGGTGCCATAACGTTTAGCGTGATTTTCAAAGCGTTGTGATCGTTTTTTGATAATTTTTTGAGAATGCTATTTTCAGAAAACACAGTAATACGGGAATAGGGAAATCGAAAGGAGAATACAGAAAACTTGCAGTTCCAAAAATGAAAAATTTAATTTTCTTAGGCTCACGATAGCAAGCATAGCTAACTTTTCTATAGTTCACTGGGGTTCGAAAAGCCGCTTCGCGACTTTTCAACCCCGGCCTCCGCAACCCTATGATGTTCTTCGGTTATAGCCTGATGCCCTAATTCCGATGACAAAAAATGAAAACGCTCCCTTCGGGCTTTTTTGCATATAGGCTACTGCAGCTTCCGGTGTATGTTAATTTTATCCTAACAAATTCGGTGGCCGAATTTTTACGAAAAACTTAAATGTAATGTGTCGAATATATTATTTACAAAAAATCCGATATGCTGTGCAGTCATCTCCAGCCCATTACGCATCTAATGACGTATCGAAACACCTCCTCAAACCCATCATCCCTTATCGAGATATCCTCCGGACACTGACGGAAGTTGCATGCAAAGTGGCACACAATACACACACACACAACCCTCTGTTTTTATATACCAGGGTTGAAAGCCGCTTCGCGACTTTTCAACCCTGGCCACGTCTAACTTGCTGAAATTCTTCACTCTGCATACGTCTCTCGAATTCCTATGGGGAAAAATGAGGAATTCCACTCTTTCACGTTATATATAGGCTTCCGCCACTTCCGGCGTATGCTAATTATTTCCTAACAAAGAAGGCTGCCGGATTTTTCAACAAAAACTCAATTTTAATGTCGAAAATAGCATAATTTGCAAAATATGATAGGCGTGCAGTCATCTCGGGGACGTTACGCACCTAATGACGTATCATACGTAGCCTAACGCCCTTCCCCTGCAGATATCCTCCGGACACAGGTGACGGGAAGTTGCATTCAAATGCACACACACACACACACAGGAACTATTTTTTTATATATAGTAGGATAGTAGGATATTTTCAAGAACCTATTTTTTTCATAATCTAGTAACGTTTGGTAACGTAAAAGTAAGTATTTCCAATAATATTTATAGAGAAAGGGTATGTATGTATATTCCGGGAGGAAAAGAATTAAGCATTGAAATTTTGGGAGAAAAATCGATATTGTTGTATTAGGCTACAAAAAATTGTAGCATTGTTGCGCTTAGCAAGATTATATTAAAAACAGTTTAGAAACATTGCCAATATTTATGTTAGAAAAACTGGATACTGAAGCGAAACAGTTGATTTCCATTTTGGTAACCCTCCCCCGATAATGCGCCAGGACCCCATGATTAAAAAAGCTTACGGTAGTTTGCCGAAAATCCCCACAATTCCAAAAAAGTACGGTTTTTCCGCGACTTCCTGTATCCTGCACGCAACCCGCAGGCATGGTCTCCGTACCGTTTGTTTACCTAATTCTCGATTTCAATCCCTGTGCCGTGTCCGCCGATCCAATTGGCGACGAGAGGATCGGATGACCGGACGCCGTTTAAAAGACCAAGGACTTTTCCGCATCCGCTCGGACGCCCGCGGGTGGAACCGTTTGCCATTTTAAATGCCACCTGTCCTACGATTCTTTGCGTTGTTTTGGCTGCCAATAGCCGCTTACTGCGCCAAAAATGTCACATCTGAAAGTTTTGATGTGGAGAAGCTCGACTTCAAGCCGGAATTTTTAGAGGAGATTCGGGTAATCGTTAAAAATTGAACTGTTCTTACAAGGAGTGGTTCTTAGGTAATCGGGGTTTTGCGAAATGACATGACGCCCTTGATTGAGGGTGAAATTCTGAACAAAACATCCCATATTTCCAAATTTTTGGACAAAAGTGTACTTTCAGAAAAAGGTTTTCAAGGTTAGATGTTGTTACAGGCGTATCATGTGCAATCATGAGCAAAATTGGCATTTTCAAAGCAAAGTACTCACTCATTTATAGAAATCGAACATGACCCTCGACGTCTCAACTCGGGCGAAACGTCAGATGTGCTCCGGATGCTCCTCGTGCTCCGGAAATGCTTGCGGATCTTGTTGTGGGTTACCTAGCGAATAACGTAACTTAACTTAGAGGGCTTAAAAACCTAGATACTTGGAGCAGTAACATTTGACCTTACGGTAACGTAATGTAAGATGACCGTAAAAGCCTTCGACATTTTTAGGCAAGCAATGCAGCTACCCAGGACCCTGCGGATGTCAGCCTTGTAATAATTCTGTAAGTTAATTTATTTTCTCACATACGAGGATGCTATATTATGACCTTACTGATACGTTTGTACATACAAGGCATCACAACGTGGTTTTTGTAAAGTTAATTTTCCTTAGGTTTTATTTAGGAACCTCGACCTTGCGTAAATTGCGGCTTGGCTAGGGGCCAAAATCGTTGTTGCTCGTGTTGTAGGCCCGCTTGTCGGCCTGGGTGTATGTTTAAGGGAGGTATGATATTATATCTTTTGATTATACTTTAATGCATCATTATGCTCGCGATCAAACGTCATCCAATGTTTAGGCTGCAACTCGTGCAGCAGTTTCCGTTACCGCTCCGTCGACTACTACGACTATGGCTCGTTCTATGGTGGCGGTGGATTTGCTCAGTATGGATAAACAACCATATAAGTGTTACTACGGCTGTAGGTGTCAATAAAGGCTCAAACCTTAACACTAAAACAAGCACAATCCACACACCCTACCTCCATCAAAGATTGCAAAATTGGCACAGATCAAACGAGACACAGCCCGCATCAATCTGTACCGAATGATTATTTCGGCGGACTGGCGGTGTGATAGTGACGAGTTTTGTTGGCGCGCCATTCTTATAAAACGGCTCGAGATTTCTGCATTTTTGTGGTTGAATCTTATTCAGTGCAATCAGAAATATGTGGATTGAACTCGCTGTGGTTTTTGCGGCTTTTGGTTGTAAGTTTTTGTTTGGAAAGCTCTCAAAACTTTCAAATTTTGGTGATTTTTAGTATCATGGTTAAGACTATAATTCTGCAAAAAATCTGAAGCCGTCTTACCTTTAAAGTTCTTTTGACGATATTAATTTTTTGTGGAGCGTCAGCAGGCCCGTAAGAGGGGGGGCAGGGGCGAGCCGCCCCCTCCCCCGAAATCGGCCGAAGGCCGAAAAGTTCATAAGAGGGGACCCTTATGATTTAATTTTTCCAAAAAATTCTTTGCCTGCGGCGCCGTTTTTGGCTATTTTTAACACTAGTTTTAGTGTTATAAACCCTATGTTTTCAAAAATTTTGCCTGCGGCGCTGTAGTTTTAGTCATATTAGTGAAAATTTTTTGGGGTCGCCCCCCCCCCGAAATTTGGGTTTGTTACGGCCCTGAGCGTCAGAAATCAATCACTGCTTAATTGATTTTCCCGCTTAATCGATCGATCTTTACCCTGGTTGCTCAGAAAAAATTAAAATTCAACGTCTTGGAAAAAAATTTGTTTTTCCCCGAACTATTTGCGGCTTATCGTCTAAAAAGCCCTCATCGAAAAATTTTGTAGAGTCCGGAATATAGGATCGGTAAAAGGGTAGATGCCCTACCCGATTCAAAAAAACGCAAAATACCGCGTCGCCTGATAAGCTAAATTACCCAATTTGATCGCCACCTTCTTATGTGAATTGATGGTAAACAGCGCGTAGGGTCGAATGGGATTGCAAGAACTTGTCGCCGTGGTCACTTGGGAAAAATCGAAAAATTCGAATCAGAATGTTCTTTCTGTTTAGTGAGTTCTGCCTCGGCGAATTGCGCATGCTCGGGAAACTTCACCGCGTACAAGCCGACGTATAGTATCACGGCGGCTGAGGACCCAACGCAGATGTACGACCATTTTGCGCCGTGCTATCCCGATGGTGGTGTCTGCTACAGTATCATTAACCCGAGCGTTCAGGGTTATGGAGTTGGGGTGAGAATCGGAAAGGTCGATCCCTGAAAAATTGGCTAAAAATACAGACTCCTGAAAAACAGCGTATTGATACTTTTATATACTTGGTTAATGTTCTCAGCAGTAGAAACACAAAATTAAAACGTACTCTGTCGTACCACGTCAAACTTTAAACTTTTAGTGGATCATCATCGACAACTTCATCGTCCCAGATGGCTATAACTTTACTGTCACTATCACTGATGGAAGCGTCACGAAATTTGTGTAAGACTCTTTCAAAGAATCGACGCTTGCTTTTAGACTGACCAAAGACAACATCAAGCTGTACAGAGGCCTCTTGGCAAACTGGACCAGCACAAATGGATACATCACGATTTTCCAAGACTATGGGCAGAATGCGGGCAATAGCAAAGGTATGAAAACGCAAGCTCGGAACTATTAAATTCCTTTTTAGTTGACTTCACCTTTGACGCACATCCGATGAAGAATCGCTAACCCAAGCAGATGATAATTTCTGTGCAGAAATATAAAACGTTTGACATGAACATAAAAGCATGTCTCTCTTTTTTAACGGGCAGGGTTTTCTCCGGCTCTTGAACAGCAAATTTTTAGTATTTTATGGCTACCCAATATTTTTTGCCATATTGTATGCTTTTCCGTACCATAGAAAACTTGTTGATCCGGTCGCACATTTCTCGACGCGAGTTCCATTGCTATCGAGACCTAGATATAAGGGTGTGAAGTGCAAGGCAGCATCACCGTGTGCAATAAAGCAGAACATTTGCGCGCCCGATAAGCGAAATTACCAAATTTCATGGTCGTGTTATGTGAATTTTATGGCCTATGGGGCGGAACCCCGGAAAGGGGCGAGGCCAAGAAATTGTCTCATCACTTACTTGAGAAAACCAACAATACGGCTAGGGGACAAGGTTTAAAGATTTAGTGATCTCTCCCGCCTTCAGGGGACTCGGAAGTCAAAGTTCGTGCGTGCGAGACAACTACTGTCAGAAAAATAAGGGGGTTGCTGCCGAGAAGTATGAGAAACGTTATTTCGTTGCGATAAATGCAAAACATTTGTGTAAAACGAAATGTTCACGGGGGAAAAGTCTTTTTAGGTGTGCTGCGATTACATGTTGTAATGCCTTGCAAAGCACCCATTTTCCCGATCTCGGTCTTTCTCATAATCGAGAGTGACCAAAATTCGGTGAGGATTCCAATAATAGCGTCAGAATTGTTAAATTGAAGCGTTGCACCTTTCACACACCTTCCATGCGGGGCGGTCGCGTTGTGGCCGCATCAGGCTATTTGTCAGGAATCAGCGCTTGCGGCGTGGACCAGATTTCCGAGCCTCTTTAATCGGCAGGCAGGGTAGGCAAACAATTCAAATTCCTCAGCGCCGCAAAATCGTTAACTTTTTGTCTTCCTGCCTTCCGTATTACATGAAACGAGGTACACTTACCCGGATCGCCGCTGTATCTATCGCTCCGCCCAATCACGCCGCCCGCAATAATGTTTTTATTGGCCCTCGACAGTACGCCCACATCCATAAAGTTCGCCCATTCTTTTACCCCAACCAGCCCCCGTCGCTTTACAAACCTTACCAGTTAGAAATCTATTTACCTAAAATAGCTGAGACTTTTGAACCTCGCGGGGGTTAAAATCGCGGTGGGGACGCATTAAGCTTTAAAAGAGCATTTTAGAATCTTCCTAGGGCTCCAAAACCCAACCGCAAACGCCCGGTGCTTTTTTGGCAGCACGATGATGATCCGGGTGGTGCTGGCAGCGTTCGCATTGGGTAGGTAGAGCTTTTCAAAAGCGATCATAGCATCGGCCGGGGCCAGGAAGATCTCGAATTTTCAGCCCAGTCGGTTCGTGGGGCCTGCGTCTGCCCATCGAACACCAACAAATATTCGCAAACCTACCAAATTGCGACGCCATTCGATCCAGATGATGACTGGAATGATTGCACGCCTCCAGACAATCAGTGCGTCTATACGATTGGCACAGGCAGCGATTTTCAGGGTGTAGGGGTAGGTGCATTAATTTTATATGCGTATACAGGGTGGCTAGAAAGTATTTGCCGCGCTTTCGCGCTGGTTTTAATCTGCTAAAATTCCAACGACAGGTGCATTAGTGGGGTGCATTCGGAAGAGCATTTTTTGCTCTATCGATTGATATATAAAAACTAGCAAATGCTTGCTCGTATAATTTTAATTAGACTGAAATACATAAAACCTCGTTTTTTGTATTGGTTTTCGGCACTTTCGAAAGCCTCGAAAAATTTCTTAGGGGATATCTTATTCTTTTCCGGTGCTGTATTGTAGAAACCATTAACGAAATTATATAAAAAAATTATGCTCGGGGCACCGCGAGACTTAGATGGATCACGGAAGTGAAAGTAAAATTTTGCTAGTGGGGTGCGCCGAGATTCGTGGTTGGCAACCATCTGCCGCACAAAAATGGATATTAAAAATCATTAATTCGAAAACTTGCCCTAAATTTACTATTAAAATATAGATAATGCATAAGCCTACCCGGCTGACACTTTGACTAGGACCAAAATAATTGAAAACGCCGGCCTCAAGCATTTGAAGATCGTTCGAAACCAACGGCAAGAAAGTGCAACTCATTATTATTTTGTGCCCGCAATAATTTTAGTTACGGCTATCCAATGAGTTTTTCCTATCCACGCGGTTGGTTTTATTGCGTCCAGAACAAAAATAATATTTTCCGCATAAAAACGTGGTTGTTTAGACATTTGGTATTTGTGCTCCAAAAACACCTTGTTCCGCTCATTTTAGGCGCTCAAGAAAATAGCGAAAAGCTTTTCGATACGGCTAAAACGAATTTTTCTGGTTGATACGTCCAATAAAGGGCCTTGCAATAAACAAAAATCCAAATTTCTGTTCTGATTGGTTGCAAGCAAAAATTGAAAAGATTAACACTAAAGTCAAAATACGTGCGGCGCAGGCCCATGTTTGGATACACCTCTAAAGGACCGTATCTTAAAAATCTGAGGTCTAGGGTGTTAGTCTTTTTGATAGTCGTAAAGAGGGGCCTGTTTGCTACATTTTGGTTATAAAATGGCAAAGAAGCCGGACACGGAGAATTTTTTAAGGAGCTTTCCCTGCGGCAAATACTTTCTAGCCACCCTGTAGGTTACGATTAACCGCCTCCAAAACCCACGTCTTTTTTTCGGGGCTAATGAAGTTCTGTCCAGGGGTGTATTCAGAAAAAAACGGGACCGCAACACTTGCGCCGCGATACTGAGTTTCAACTAATGAAGATGCAATTTTTCGCGCGGAGTCCGATTCGGGTTAAAGAAACGATGCGCTAGGAGTTACTCGATTTGGAGTGAAGGTAATTGCTATTTCTTCCGCTCTGCAACTAGAAAAAGGCTTCGTGCCACCCGGGGCCTAGTCGCTTCGGATGGGTGCGATCTCGTACAGGGTTTTGAAATCGGGGCGCCCGAAGCGCGCGTCGCGGCCAGGCGCCCCGATTTCGAAAAAGTGGAGCGGCAGCCCATCCTAAGCGACGGCCCACCTTGCCTGACGCCTTTAGGAGCGCTCCAGATTGGCGTTGCTCACTTCCAGTCGTTTTGATGCAAAATACAGTAAATACATACAAAATTCGCGCGGACTACCAAATTCACGACAGTTTAAATCAATATGCGATCCGCGGCGCAAGTGTCGCGGCGCAAATGGCGGCGGCGCAAGTGTCGGGGAGCCAAAAAAACTTCGGGGGGAGGCGTTAATTTTTTAAAGAAAATTGCTACATTCACGGAAAAACAGCGCTGAAGGTGGAAAATGGTGGAAAAAAGGTTACATACGAGCAAAAATATTCATAAAAACCTTAATAAACAACGCGGTATGTCGAGAAACTAAAAAAAATATTATTGGGTCCGGCTGATTCCGGGGTGCCAGGGCCCCCTTGTTGAACCGGTTTCACGGGCTTTCATCTAAAAACACGAGCGATCTCTTGGATTTGCCATAAAGAGCAAGTGAGCATTTTGCGAAAACCAAGCCATAATATCAAAAAAATTTTATTCAGCATTTTACCGCCCTAAAATTCCAAGATCCTGAAGGCGTGCTGACGGTGGTCCTGCAGGATGACATCTATAACATCACGTAAGCCTTCAACGGGAGCCAACCTGGTGTTACAGGATCACGGTCGACGATTACCAGGCGCAAAACGCCACCCTGGGCTCATATCTCCCAAAAGCTTCCGTCCTGACTGTGTACATGTTTTGGAGCAAAAGCGTGACTACGGGTAAGATTCCCCCTCTCCACTTGTAGGATCAGCGCGTTTTCAACAGGATTTTAAAGGGAGGCCAACGGCATAGTCAATCGGTTACGCGCTAGAAAGCAACATTTCTCTGCGCCTCTCCCCTGGGCGCGCTCTCTGCCCTGTTGGCTACTTGCCAATTTGTTGATGGGGGGGGGGGGATCGACACATGCGGACATTAGTAGAAGAGCGAATGCCAAAATTTCAGCGAGCGCCCTCTTCTATGGATATCCCGTCAACGTGACCGGGCCATCCCCGACCACAGTGGTTGGTTTTTAAGTAGCGCAAAATAGAGCATTTCCTCGTTTCGGTCGTTCAGGACCTTGTGCTCTCAAACATTTTCTTTGTGAAGCACCTTCGTGGAAAGCTCTACCTGGTTAAAAAAATGGAGGACGGCCCTTTCAGGCAACGGCAATGCCAACCCCCGTCACACTCAGCGGCGGTTCGCCGAGTCCGGCCGGGCTGCTCGGAGTTGACTTAGCCATCGTGCTCGACACATCGGTCACCAACTCCTCATACTTCAAAACGGTGAAATAAGTCCCTGTCGACGACTTACTGGATCGTTTTAGATGCAAGCGGTAATTACGAACGCCGCCGCAAACCTGGCAATTTACAACGATGATACGGTGCCTTACGGAGCCAGGCTTGTGCTGCAAACTATGGCGCAGACAAACCGGCCTAATAACTTTGGAGATCCTTGGTATGTCGTTCAAATACTTGAGAAATAAAAATAAGCGCATCGACACAGGAATGTTTTGGATTCAGGTGGAACATAGCTATGTGCTTTGAAGGAGCATTGTGAACATAAGGGTGGGGGGGGGGGCGCGCTTTCACGTTGTTTCTTGCAAAACAGCGTTAGTTAAAAACGTATTTAACTACTAAATAAATAAATCGTTTGTATATTTTCTAGGGTTTTTTGCTATTGGTTGTTAAGGACTTTTTCAATGGTCTGCCTTTTAGAAATTTTTATGATTCGGATCGTATATTGCTAAATGCAGCATTCATGCTCAAAATTTTCAAAATTTTGTCTAAATTTATAGAGAATGATGACGAAGACATTCTTTATTTTGAAAAACGTTCCCTGAAAGTCAGATATTTCCTTTAGCAAATCGGAACTTGTTCTCAGAAATGCGTTAATATTCTTATCACTATTTAGCTAGCGCAGTCCCTAGAATCAATCAGTACAGCATTTTGCATTTGCAGGCATATCGACTTTGATTATTTTGGGGCGCAGGTTGGCGTGCTCCGACCGTCTTCTTCACAATCTGTATGGCAGGGGTGAGGAAATTGCAGATTTGAAAAATTTTGATATAAGGCCACTAAGTGCCGGCCTGGCCGACCCCAACGCATTTTTCAAGACCGGCACACAAGAATCGTCCACTCGCAACAACGTCCAGCGAACATATGCGATTTTTACGCAGGGCGCGTAAGTACTTTGTATTCGCCATTTGCAGAGCAGTTGGCATCATCTCTCTAACTGTAACCCTTATATGGTCGAAGCGGAAATTCGTTTCGTCAGATAGCACGTCTCATACCGAAGTTTTCGCTGATTCGGAATCCGTTTTCAAAAGTTGCGGACTCCCTCAGATTAAAAAGTTACAAGCCTTTTTAATACACAAAATGTAACAAATCGCTTGCTTTAAAGCGTTCTACTTTTGGCGGGCGAGTAAGCAGTTCGCCAGGGTAGAAAAACGTGTTCTTTCGAATGGGCTACCTCACAACCTTCAGCTCAAATTTCTAAATGTCAAAAATCGGCCATCCTGAGCACGGTCCACCGAAAAAACCTTTTTTGCAAATTTCGAGCTACGGGTTCATGAGTTAGCCCATTCGAAATAGCACGTTTTTTTACCCCGGAGCTCGCCTTACTCTCCCTCCAAGATGTGTTATCTGACGAAACGAATTTCCAATTCGACCATAAAAGGGTTACAGTAAGGACCATTGCTTCGGTAAACGCAGAATTATGCTAGCGGCTATATAGATCTTTTTGACCGACGTCCGTAATGGAGGAACGCTTAGGTTCTCCGACGCCGATAAAATTGGAGATTTGATTGACACCCTCAAAGTTGCCGATGTGCACATGGTTGTCTTTCATTTCGGTTCCGGGTACCCCAACGCCCAGCTCCAAGCATTCATGGCGGTAAACAATAACGTAACTGTTGGAAACCCTCCATTCAGAAACCCAACTTTGATTACGTTCAATACAAAGCAGATTCACCCGATTCCTTCCTGAAAGACTATTTGGTTCGCAGTGATGCAAGTTAGTTTTTTCTAAGTGACGGCACAAGACACTGTAAGTCAGCAAACTTCGAAGCCCCGTTTGGAATCAGCGAAAAATTCTGCACAAGATGGGCGTGGTTCTATTCTAAGAAAACCCGTTTACGATTAATGCTTTTAATTAAAACACTCTGAAAAAAGTAGTAAATTTCTCCTAGCATGGGCCGTCATGCTCTCGGTTTTTCATACTATGAAAAGGTTAAAGGACATCAAAATGAGGCTTGCTATAAAATTTTCGGACGCGGCCAAGATGATGTAGGCGTTGCCAGTTTTCCAAGGTGTGTATCTGCATTTTCAGCAAAATTCTTCGGTTGTTCTGCCGGGCAAGCCGAGGCTAAGACCATCCCAGCCGAAGCCACGGGACTGACTTATTCCTGGCCACCGTATGGTCGATTTTCAATTTTCCTAGCCACTTCAGAAATTACGACACTGCGACGTCGCGGTACTGCAACAACCAAGATTTCAAGCTTTCCCTGACAGCTGAAGATGGCGTAAGTCGATTTTTTTTCCGTCAAATTGGCTAGTATGTCACTAAGATAGCAATTTCTGCTTGATGCGCGAACAAACTCAGACCAAATGTTTCAGCATAGTTGCTTTTGAAACAATAGTTTATCCGGCATTTTTTTATCCATCCCGCAGAAATCGCTTGCTCGCTGAGCTTGGGCCCAAAATTTCAAGCTCATCTTCCTGTTTTGTTCTTTGGTTGAAGTCAACTATTCGGTTAGAATCTTTGAACCTATAAAATATAAACCTATGCTGAGGCTACAATTTAGATGAAGGCTATCTGCATCGTGATCTCGGCTTACGAGCTAGAGACGGAAAAGGACTATGTACGGTTCTGGGATGCTAGCGGAAGCTTGCGCGCTAGGTAAGGTGTTGTCAGTTCATTGATATTGGTCAATTTTAGCCTGACCGGTATGGGCATCGCTGGGTCGAAATTCCGACTAGAGGGAACATCGGCAACTATCACATTCTCCACCAACGAATACAATGTTTTCCACGGGATCCAATTTACGGCAATAAGCACTGCCGCCGCCACGTGCTAAGCCTCAGCATTGGGAGCGTGCTCAATTTCAGTCAATAATAAACTTCCAGCAAATGTATTGATCCAAATTACCATTTTTAAAGTAGCGGATGAATATTGTAAAGCGTTATGCAGCCCAGCAAGTCGCCTAACTGGACAGAAATCCATTTGAAGCTTAAATTCGAAGAAATTCTTCATGCCATTCATCTATTGATCGTATTCGGAGCAGTGTCTCCCCTTCCTCGCCACCCCAGCCATCCGGAGGCGCCTCGTCAACGCTGCATGACTATATTTCACGTTATCGGCCATTGTTTCCGCCCTGTCTCAGGCCCCATTCCGGCCGACAAACGGCACTCCTGAACAGATAAGGCTCCCTGAATTTTTTCACGCTTCCATGGATGGGGGCGACGCCCATTTCCTGTAATTCAGCCGGAGTCTCCGGGGTTGTGTTGTAGGCAAAGCGCTACTTGTCGACCTGTTGCGTGGCCAGTAGTGTATTTAGACGGGTTTAGCTCAATTAAAGTGAATACCGCTCTCTATCCCGAAATTCTGTATCCCGAAACGCCCAATCCCGATTCTGTATCCCGAAACTCCCAATCCCGAAACTCTCTATCCCGAAAACTCCATATCCCGAAAACTCTCTATCCCGAAAAATCTCTATCCCGGAAAGCTCTCTATCCCGAAAACTCCTTATCCCGAAAACTCTCTATCCCGAAAACTCTCTATCCCGAAAGCTCTCTATCCCGAAAACTCTTTATCCCGAAAACTCTCTATCCCGAAAACTCTCTATCCCGAAATCTCTCTATCCCGAAAACTCTTTATCCCGAACGCTTTTTTTCATCGACATCGTGGCTAGTAGCTTTACAGAGTTTCTAGTTTTTTTAATGAGATAACTTGTTAGATTTACACATCCACCTTGTGATTGCCTTGGTGGTTCAATGTCGACCGCACTCTCGTCCTATCTCTCGTTGCTGAGCAATTCAAACCCAATTTTTTTGTCTAGGAGCTTCGCCTCGATCGCCGTGATGATTGTGAGGACAGCACTCCTGCTCTTGGGTTAGGTGAGTTCGCT